TCCAGAGTTTCTTAATTTTCTGACATTTTTAATCTCATTCTTATGTGTTTGTTGGACTTCATGTTGTCCTTTCAACTCTTCACCTTGACAATAACTATTTGATTGTCACAGTTCATAAGGATGGACGGAACCGGCTTCTCAACCACTGGCAAGTCCATCAAAAGATCTCGAAGCCATTTTGCTTCGCCACACAATGTGTCTAATTCTGTTAATTCTGCTTCCATTGTCGATTTCGTTAAGATCGTTTACTTGCAAGACTTCCAGGAAACAGCACCACCTCCAAGAGTAAACATATACCCCATTGTGGCCTTCATCACATCAGCACGAGAGATCCAATTCGCATCACTACACCCTTCAAGTACCGACGGGTATCCGGTATAGTGAAGTCCATAGTCCATAGTACCTTTCAGATAGCGCATAACTCTCTCAATTGCACGCCAATGTCCATCACCCGGTTTTGAAACAAATCGGCTCAGTTTGCTAACAGCAAATGCGATGTCAGGCCTAGTTGCGCTTGCTAGATACATGAGTGAACCAACAATTTGAGAGTATCTCAATTGATCTATAGTTGTTCCTTTAGACATTTGAATCAGCACACTAGAATCATATGGTGTTTGAAATGGTTTGCCCGAATATCCAAAGCGACTCAACACCTTCTCAACATAACGGGATTGCAGAAGTGTAATCCCACCCTCATCATCTCTCAATAGCTTGATGTTCAAGATAACATCAGCCACTCCAAGGTCCTTCATCCCAACATACTCCACGGCTGTGCACAGTGCAGGTGTGTGCGGAAGGGCGTGGCAGTGTGCAGAGGAACCACATCTATTACTCCAACGAAAGATATGGCCATCTTCCTTTTCATAAGAGGCATCTCACAAAATTGTCCGATGGCCGTGCAGTGTACTACGACGATGATGAATTAGTTTGTTACGACGGGAAGGTGATTGTGTCAAAAGGATTTTATGGCGAGCGTGGCGTTCATGCTGCCATGTGGCTTGTCCCACCACACGTGTAGCAGACTGCGAGCAGGATCAGAAAATCAGAGTTTGTGACTTTGGAAGATGATTGTGTCATGCGGATTTTATTCTAAGCGCGGCGTTCAAGCTTCCATACATGTAAACATGTCTTAGCACCATCCATAAGTCATTATCAATGGCAAGGCACAAGCTTGCTAACGCAATGAAATTGTCTCATGACTCTGTGCATTGTGTGATGCAGAGCCCCTAGGTTAGTGCCCCTTTCAGAAAGCAAAAATGTCACGTGCTTACCATTGTTTGCCGCCCCACGACAAGCTCGGAGAGGCCAGACCTCAATGTGGTGATTTTGGAGTGGTGTGAGTATCGTACAAGAATTTCACAGCTACACTTATTATATAAATTCTAAAGTTAAGGAAGCTAGCAGCATACTACTTCAGCAAGTATAATGGGGAGGTATCGAGTTTGATCGTTTCGCTTGATATGGAAAACACTTGAAAATTTCTGGGTTGATCGCTTCGCTTCTTGGGCAACCTCCATTATGGTACACGTGTCCCTGTGGGGTCCATCCCACTGCTATCCTTATAACTATAAACCTGCGCTCTCTGTTTCTCCTCGAGTTTATTTTGTTCCTTTGACAGAGTTTTCTCACCGAACATCCCTCTCTGCCCAACCCGTTGCTGCAAGCCATGGGGGGACCACAGAAAGGCGACCACTGTTGCACCAGAGGCGCGGTGCTGCAGGAGAACCTCCGCCCACCACTTCGCCGCACTCTGACGCCACCCCAGCCACCCATCTCGTCGTACCGTGCTGCAACCGACCTCTACCGGCCAGAGGCGAGCCAAAAGTCGCCGAGGTTGCAGCATCGTTGATGTTGCAACCCACCCGATCACGGTGGCTAGCTTTGCTGCAGGACCAAGGTGAACCAACACCGACTGACGCCTCATCTGTCATCCAGGATCAGTCATTCACAAGTTCAGTACTAACGCGCGGTCAAAGAACATAAAACCAAGGAGCAAAATAACCTCTTGGACAGCAATAAACCTGCTGATAAATGCCTGTACTTACAGGAGCAGGTTTACCTGAATCAAACCATGCGCTCATTTACATGTTCAGTAGTGACGTGTTCTCCATAGTACAACCACAGACCAAGGATTAGAGTAGTCTCTTGGACACTACTTTTTGGGACAAGGTTTACCTGAATCAAACTGTACTAATATTTCTGAACTTTTGGCTACATAAATGGTAGTACTAGTATAATATCATGAACTAAAAAATATCATTTCCTATAAAAGCATCTATGAGACCAGTCATGCTTGTGGCGTGCAGACCATTTCGCTGTTCTTATAGAAAACACATCAAACCCTTATGTATTACTACCCATTTGCTGGCTTAGGTTCAACACTTTTTCTGCTAACCATCTAACAAGAGAGGGTTATGATACTGTTAATTATTGTATTGTCTCTCTATGGACTTATCATCAGAGCCGAATGTGCAGTGGTCCTGCTGCTTCAGTCCATACCATTTTTTAGTCTAAAGAAGTACTCACTAGGATAGATATGGAATTATGTTGTTTCATTCTCCTGGCATTTTGGATAATCTAATCTTATATTTATTAATTGGAGACACCATACGAGGCACCACGTTAATCCTTGAAACTAAAGATTTTTGACTGTTTGATTAATATATAATGTATCTGTAGCCGTCAGATGAAACATAAGGCGTAATGACTCATACTACCACGTACGGGAGTAGGAGTCTTACTCCCTTGGGACTCTCTCTGTTTCCTAGAAAAAGTAAATTAGTTCTTTAAAAAAAATGTAAAAAATAGGACGTGGTATATTCCATGGATAGATGATTAACCATAGAGTCCATATATAATACTCCTATGCATACACGTGTAAAGTTAAGTCTCCCAAAGGATAATACGTCAGGGCATGCATAACGCAGCCATCAACCACTAATCAACCTGCATCATTTTCCCATGCAAAAATAAAAACTGCGTCATTTTCTCTTTCTATGTACAGGCATGTCACTGCATATTAAAAAAAATCACTACATACACAACTACCAATGCGTAAATGCGCATACTTCACCAAGCTACTTCCTAGAGCACATGTAGGTCTATAGGCACGATTCACTTCATTTGTATTTGCTGAAAAAAATGAACAAATTAGTTCCGAGAAAATAGTTTTAAATCTATGTAAAATAATCGTAATACATACTAATGTCTACACTAGATGCTAAATTGCTAAGTTCTACCGGTGCATCAAATAATAATTCAATTTTGTATGACAGACTGTGTGGTTCATACTTGATGCGAAATATATTTAGCAATACATCGCTATAATGTGAAGTATTTAATTAATAAAATAAATATTGCACTATGGCAAATAGCGAAAAACTTGAAATAACCTAAATGATTGCTATGTCGCCGCTAAATGGCGCCCTATGCTGCCAAAATTGCTAAATTGTACAAAGACACCGTTTAGAAGGACCATATCAAAAACGTGACAACACTGATATAGCCCGCTATTAAATTTCTGATTTTAACAAAAAATTAAGTATAAATAATCAAGAAACATGGTATGCTCATGTATAAATTTTCCATGGTACTATAAACTCAATAAATATATGTCTACAAATTTAAGAAGAATATTTATGTATGCGGTACCAAGATCTCTGTAAGCAATCCATTAAACATAACATGCCAGTACAACCAAAAAAAGATTGTGTCACACTGCCCAGATACACTAATGTAAAGAATTTATATATTAGCAAAAGTATAATTATCAGACATAAAAAATAAATACTTCCTTTGATACATATTAATTGTCGCCCACTTAATACAACTTTGTACTAAAGTTGTACTAAGTGAGCGAGAATTAATATGAGAGGAGTAGTAAGAAAGAGTTTTCATGAGAGAAGTACATGTTGGGATACATCTATCTTCTAGGCAACCTCTTTTTGAATTCTCAAGACCACCCTTCGACCAGGCTACTATCTTCTTTGGGGTCCTTATTATCTCTATCGACGAACGTTTAGCACTGTGCAAGCAATATTTAGTCTCTTTGGTTTACTATCTATTTTTCTTAGGCAGACCGTTAAGGACCTCAGAAGACATATGTTACCGGCGGGCCTAGATTTCCAAAATACTTACACGAGGAATTCTCATTGCATGAGGACTCTCTATATTATGCCTTAATAGGACTGGAAGCTTGAAGCTCATCAGCAAGAGATTTGAATCTTGCCTGTCTACCTCTTCACCATCAAGACATCTTGAGAGTGAATCGTATTTCATGAATATAATATCTACTCCACAGAGAGCCCGTGCGCCGCACGGGTTTGATGACTAGCTAAGCTAATTAGGTGCATTTAGCTCTGGAAAAACACAAAGAAAGAACAATCGATCGGCACGAAGCGAGATCATAACATTATTTTACTTCACTGACGATAGCTGCCACCTGGCTAAGTACCCGGTTACAACAAGCTTATAACATTACAGAGAGTGTTAACACTAAATTTATATAAGAGAAACAGGATGCATAAAGGGAGTTGCCATGGAAGCAAGGAAACCAAATGCACAAGGAAATGAATGCAAAGGAGAATCTCTGAAAACCTGATGTTCAAAACTAATCTCCTGATGAGCTCGGGCTTAAGCGGAACTACCGAGGATACCTTGAAGATGAAGCGAACTCCTCTTCCATACTATATTGCCCGGACAATACTTCGCCCCTACTTCCATCTGCAGTCCGTGGACGATTTCTTAGATCACCCTCCTCATATCCCCTGTATGCTTGAGTGCCTTCGAGTTTGATCTCCACTTGCTTCATGGACGGACGATCCTCTCCTCGTAATGCTATACACATTGCTGCAAGTGCCGTGACTTCTTCCATTTCTCTGCCTCCCTCTTCCATAACTTGCTTATCCAGAATCGCTGACAAATTGCCTTGTGTGAATAAGGTACAAAAATGTGTAACAAGGCCTTCATCTTCAGAAGAGATGTATGAAAATGGTTTCTTTCTAGTCAACAACTCCAGAAGCAAGGACACCAAAGCTGTACACATCACTTTTTTCTGTGAGACGCCCAGTATAGAAATACCCGGGGTCTAGATATCCTCTTGTACCTTGCACTCTTGTTGTGATCCCTGATCTATCCAGCGGAACATACCTTGAAGCTCCGAAGTCTGCGACCTTTGTTGTTAGAGTATCATCCAAAAGTATGTTAACAGACTTGATGTCTCTATGGATGATGGGTACTGAAGCTGTTGAGTGAAGATAGGCTAAAGATCTGGCAGTCTCAGTTGTTATCCGTAGCCTATCATTCCATGACAACGATTTTGGCCCATCAACATGAAGATGATCATAAAGGGTACCGTTGGATACAAACTCATAGACCAACATGGGGACCTCTGTTTCAAGGCAACAACCATAGAGTTTTACAACATTTCTATGGTTGATCTGTGATAGAATAGCAACCTCATTAATGAATTCATCTATCTCCTTTTGAATGGCCGCCTTTGGTTTCTTGATGGCTACAACATGGAGATCTGATAGGATCCCTTTGTAGACTGTACCATGCCCCCCACCACCAAGCTCACGAGCTTTATCAAACTTGTTTGTTGCCTTCTCAAGCTCGTCTAAGGTTATAATCATTCTTTCTGCAATATCAGCTCTTCGTGATACCAATTGTTGCAACAATTGTCCACGATTTTTTCCGAAGAACTTCTGTTTCAACATCTGTGCTCTTCGATGTTTGAAGTTCTTATGTGTGAAGGATCCAGCAAGAACAAATAGTATGATGCCTGCCCCAACAGCAACTCCTATGCCGAGGTATACACCTACAAAAATGTACATAGTATTATTCGTTTTGTCTACACACGAGATCATAGTATTATCCGCTTGGTCTACAGTTACTCAGCAGCAGGAGTAATAAAAAAGTTCGCTTAAGTAACTTTTTGGTTTCGTGGGTTCATAACTTCATATGACAAGAAGAAATTGGTTTCAGAAAGTTTAGGGTTTGAGATAAATAATTTAAATGTCAGACCTCAAGTTGGACCAAGAAACATAGAACAAGTTCACTTCGTATTAATTACAAGTAACAAGCAAACATTTTCATGGGAAGAAGCAAATTAAGTCGATTAGTATCTATCCTAGAAGGCCAATATATATTTGCTTGAAACAAATACCAAGTGAAATTGTCATGGTCTGAAATTAAACAGGAGGAAAGTTGAGCGTTGCTCACCTGTAGATAAGGGTTTGCGGTCACCTGGAGGCAAAAGTGAAATACACTAGATTAAAAACTAGAGGAACAAGTAAACTAATAGCGTAAACACGTATATTAGAATTGTAGATAGATGTTCTAGCCTTTGCATCCGTTGGCGAGGTAGGGGTTGCTCCCGGGCTTGTTGGAGCCATCCATGCACTGGCATAAATAGCCTCTGCTCCCTCGTTTGCAGTTGCTGTTCTTGCTCTTGCAGAGCTTGCGGGCTACTTCCGATGAACAGCCTGGATGCGCCTTCACATCAGCTGGTCGTGGTAAGCCCTGCATGACCTCCCAGTGCAGAACTTGGGGAACCTGTACCTTGTTCGTTTCGAATTCTTCCTGCACTACCATATTTATGGACAACCGTTGTTGGTCGAACCACCCCTCCTCCGCGATTAGCATGTATGGGTGCTGCGACGTTGCCTTATGGTCACTGTACTTGTTGAGATTTTGGAAATTCAACTTGGTGGGCAAGCCACTGGACGACAAGGAGATATGCGCCTGGCAACAGCCCATGCCATAGCAGTATCTGCCTCTATGCTCCACTGCCGTCTCGACGTAGGTGTCACTGGCGTTGGAGGGGCAAAAGGAGGCACAACCGCTGATGAAATCCTCAACACCATCCCCGGTCAGTGTGGCCTGAAAGTTGCAACCTGATAGGATGAGCTCGTTGCTGGTTGATAGCGAGTAGGGCGCCTCTGAATAGTTGCCAAGCATATAAAGACCGCTTGGTACGCTGGGAATAGGCATGATGCCGTTGGTGCGGAGGACGTGCACCGTGTTATTCTGGAGGGAGATCTTCGTGACATGATAGGAGTCCTCCATGCCGCGGAGGACGAGGAGTGGCTTTGCTGGTTGTTGGCTTCTATCACAGGTGAGGCTGAACCCTGGCCAGTAGCAATCGGCAGAGCCAATGCCGAAGGGGTATGGCAAGTGTACATCACCGCAGGACGTGCTGCAGTTACCTATTTGAGAAAGTAGCAACGTCATTAAGTACCCATTGATTTCAATAACTGATTAATTTGGGCTAACTCGTCGGACAGCACATGCCTATTTTTTTCTCTCTCAATCATTGTATAGTGTATATCGCCAGAGTGGTAGACCATGTGTTCTCCTATTACTGCTGCTGTGTCTCCTGTAGTTTATTTGTTTTCCTTTTTAGTAGGATCCCAAATGGAGTTTTGCTGCAGACCTAGTGGGGTTCCTTTGTAATTTAAAACTTGTACGTGGGATTATCAGATGAATATTTTGCTGCTGCTAATTTTTTTTTGGCGGAAGGGTTATCTGCAAAATGATTTTCACAGATTTGCTGGCAAAGGACTTACGGCCAGTTGGTTTGTCATAGGTGGTGAGCTGTTGAAATCGTTTTGCGCCCTTTTTAAGTTGGGGCAAGAACATTTCAATATTCATATTCGGCCTCTGATGTGAACCTTCACTTTTGATCTCCTGGAGGGAAATCTAAACTCTAAACTGATAGTTCTATAACAAAAGGATTTGCAAAATTTGAGTGAGCAATGCTCATCTCTTGATGATTTATGATCTTATGTTGTCCACCTATGGTTTCTTCCTCTTGCTAACTTCGAAGTCCGCAAAGTCTCACTAATGTGACTTTTTGTTTGTTTGTGTTCAATCTATTACGTAGGTTAATGTCGTTTTTACACCTGCATTTATTCTTTAAGACGATGCCACAAAATAACTAACTGTCCACTCAGTAGTAGGCTAGTTGTTGATCGAACACACTTAATTGAATGTTCTGTGATCCAGACATCCAGTATTGAACTTTTTTGTACTTATTGAGGATTGGGTGTCATCTGTTCTTTCTTGTTCATCAGTCATTTGCTTTCATCTCGATAGTAAGAACAAATGAGATTACAGCAATATTGCTTATCTGGGACGGGACTGGGACAGCCACCGGGAATGGTAGGGTCTCCATGGGTTTCTGGAGGACACCGGCAATGATATGAACCATTCAAATTGATACAATCACCGTAGCACTTCGTGTATCCTCCCTCTTTGCACTCATCAATATCTACACATAGCCGAACCAACACATGATAGCATTAAGCAAAGAGAAACTCCCAAAATTTATTACTCGCCCCAAATCAGGAAAATAAGGTAATATACTAATATTAAGAAAGACCGGACCTTTGCATCCGTCCGTGATGTAGGGATTCCCTTGGTAGCCGTGTTTGCAGGAGCATGTGTAGCCTCTCTTACCCTTTATGCAGTTGCTGTGCTTGCTCTTACAGACGTTGGAGCATTCTGCGCCATGGCCAACGACCTCCCAGCGCAGCCAAATGGGAACTTGTATTGCATCTGCTGACTCGGGGGCGTCTGTTCGTAATAGCTCGTGGAAGATAGCTGTACTGCTGAACCAATCGTAACTCGTAACGAAGACGTGCGCCGGCGAGGCCTGGTCCGCGCTGCGGTTCCAACCAAACCATTTGAGCTGTACGTCATAGGATGTGTTGTTAGAAAGCATTCCTGCTACCTCAGGGTTGAATACAATATCCGACTGGCAGCAGCCATTGCCGGAGCATTGCATGCCTGCTTCGAGTGTGGATCGTGCCTGAGCGAGTCCATCGCCGTTTTTGCAGACAGAAGAACAGCCACTCATGGTCACATTGCCGTTCTTGAGCGTTGCCTGGACGTTGCAACCCACCAGGATGAGCTGGTTGTATGAAATCGTGAAGGGCCCATTTGTCATAAGACCGCCGCCAAGCTTGCCTTCACCATTGCTGTCGACTTCTATGTCGCCCATGTGTGTAACAGACACAAATGTAGACCCATTACTAATGGACAACTCTTGGACTTGGAGCGTGCCGTCGCCGAGCAGCAACCGCGGCGGGTTGCTTGTGCGGTTGCAGGTGAGGTTGAACCCTGGCCAGTAGCACCTGGCCAGGCCCATGCCGAACGGGTACGGCACGCTCATGTTGCCACAGGTGATGTCGCAGTTAGGCATCCCTTGCGCCTCCGCCGGAGAAACTTCTGCTCCAGCAAGGAGCGGCGACGTCAGCATCGCCACCGCTGCGGCTGCCATCAGCACCCCCAAGATGGTTGTTATGTGCGCCATTGAGTGGTTGAGCTTGTGTGACTAGCTAGCTAGCTCCTCAACCATGCATCGCTCTCAAGCCGGGCCGGCTTATAAAGATGGCGCGCCCTCTGGTTGCCCGGAGCAGCACCTGCTGCGTGCTAGGCCCAGCCATCAAGGTAAAAGTAATTTTGGACAAGTAAGAACCAAGGGCATCTCCAAGGGCCGGGATCAAATGTCCTCCCCATCTGTCAAAAACGTGTACCATGGTATCCAAGGGGCAAGCCCAGCTGTCTACATATTCTATCGAACAGGCTGTGTGTGCCCCGTGGAGTGTGAAACCTGACGGGGAGGAGTTGCGGTGATGGTCGGAGGGAGGCGTCCGTGACCACCACATGCTCTCGTCCGCCGGACCGCCCTGTCGCCTATTCTTCAACTGTAGACGGGTCCTCGGCCCGGCCCATGAATGCAAGGCCGACCTGGTGTGCATCCATAATCCAGGACAACGTCATCATGGTCATTTGGTTATTTTTGTGTCCAAACAATGGCCCAACTTCACATCAATAAATTGGTAAGAGTGGTAGAATACACAAGCTAGCTGGAATACAATGTTACATTTTGACCCAAAATCTGACATGTGAGTAGGCCGTACATGTGGCGTGATGCTCGCTCTGAATTTCGTGACTGCCAGGATTCCAAGATAACATTTGAGCAGGCAGAACAGGTAGCGTGCTGTACACTCTGAATTTTGCTTGAGTGCCGAGATTCCAACATGTGAGCAGGGAGGAGCAGGACAGGCGTGAGTCACATTCTCGATAAATAAACAAACCTGTAGAAACCTTGCTAGTAATACAGCAGACTCCAACTAAAGTTACTGGCCGGCAGGCCTGGGCTCCGAGTCCTAAGGGCATCTCCAGCCGCGCCCCCAACAGGTCCCCCAGGCCACTTTTTCGGCGCCGGCGCCGAAAAAACGCCCAGTCGCGCCTCCAGGACGCCGAAAATCGCCGGTTCGGACATTTTTTCTGCCCGGCGGTCACAGGCCGAACCCGGTGCGCTGGAAGCCGTTAGGGGCTCCGGCGCTAGGGAAAAGCACGCCTGGCCCACACCGACAGGGGAAAAGTCAAGGTTTTCTTCCCCCGACTCGCCTCGCACCCCCCGCGCCCTCGGCCACCACTAGCTATATCCCGGCGACGGCCGCCGGCCTACTCTGCTAGATAGCCATTCCCCACCGGAAAATAGCAGCGCTTCGCCACGGCAACACCTCCCGCAGCAGCTGGGCGTTTCCGGCCGCGGAGGCGCGGTTTAACGGCGGGTACACGCCCACCGAGCGCAAGGTGTTCGGCGTTTTGACTGTCTCGGCGATGGACTCGGATGAGGAGGAAGAGCTCGCCGCGCTGCTGGAGGAGGAAGCCGCGTCCGACGTCCAGAAAGAAGAGCAACTGATGGTGCTCGCCGCCCTCGCCCAGCTGCTGGCGAGCAATGAAAAGCCGCGTCGAGGTGGCTCGGCGCCGGGGCGGGTGAAAGCAAAGAACCGACATCGTCTGCAAGGCTACTGCATGCTCTACTCCGACTACTTCGCCGATGCTCCACTTCATGGCGAGAGAACATTTCGGCGCCGTTATCGGATGAGCCGAAAGCTCTTCCTCAGGATTGTGAATTCCATCCGAGAGTTCGACAACTACTTCAAGTGCAAGATGGATTGTACTGGCGCTCTTGGATTCACCTTCATCCAGAAGTGCACGACAGCGATGAGGATGCTTGCATATGGAGCTCCCAGTGACTCACTCGACGACTATGGGCGCATGGCCGAGTCCACCAGCATAGAGTGTTTCTACAAGTTCTGTCGGGCAGTGGTGGCTGTGTTTGGGCCACAATACTTGAGAACACCCAATGCGGAAGACACCGCTCGGATCCTAGCCCAGAATGCAGCAAGAGGATTTCCTGGGATGCTTGGAAGCATCGACTGCATGCATTGGAAATGGAAGAACTGCCCATTTGGTTGGCAGGGGATGTACAAAGGCGCAAAAGGCGGTTGCAGTGTGGTGCTTGAGGCGGTAGCCACACAGGACCTCTGGATTTGGCACTCCTTCTTTGGTATGCCAGGAACTCACAACGACATCAACGCGCTGCAGCGCTCTCCTGTTTTTGCCAAGCTCGTTGAGGGCCATTCTCCTCCAGTGAACTTCGAGATCAATGGGCACCAATACAACAAGGGGTACTATCTAGCTGACGGCATCTATCCGAGATGGTCGACATTTGTGAAGACGATCTCAAACCCTGTGGCAGGAGGCAAGAATGCGTGGTTTGCGAAGCTTCAGGAGGCTTGCAGGAAGGATGTCGAGCGGGCATTTGGTGTTCTCCAATCTCGATTCGCTGTTGTTCGGTACCCCACTCAAACCTGGTCGAAAGATCAAATGTGGGAGATCATGACTTGCTGTGTCATCTTGCACAACATGATCATCGAGAGCGAGCAAGAAGACCCAGTGTTTGACACTAAACCATACTACAGGCAGGGTCCTCTAGCCGAAGTTGATCACCAGCTACCGGCAACTTGGACTGCCTATCTCAGTATGCGTCAGGAGATCCGAGACCCACAGGTGCATCATCAACTGCAGAAAGATCTGATTGAGCACCTATGGAGGCTCAAGGGGGACGCCGCGTGATGAAATACGAGTTTTTATTTGTTGAACTATATAATTTGTATTGAACTATTTGTTGTTGTAGTATTTTGTTGAAGTATTTGATTTTTCTGTGATGAAATATGTGATAAGGAATAATTGTGTTGATAATTGAACGCCGAGACAAGGCGAAACCACGCCGAATATGGGCCTATTCTCGCCCATATGGGCCGTTTATTTGCCGAAATTGGGCTGCAAAGTGGGCCAATTTCGACGCCTGGGGGCGACGACTGGGCGCAAAACCGCCCCCAGCGCCGAGTGTATCGCCGGCTCGCCCCCAGGGGGCATTTTTTATGCGTCCTGGGGGGGCCAATGGCTGGAGATGCCCTAAGAACCTCTAGGAGAGTCTCAATTTTGGGCAAATTGACATAATAATTGTCATTATGACAATTCTGGCAAAAAAGCGCAGCTAGAGTCTGTCATAAGGGGCGAGCCCGTGAGTGGCCCCTTCTTCTCCGGTCTCGACGGCGCGCACGTGCACTTCGAAATCAGAGGCGGCGCTGCACGACGTGAGAGGCAGCGTGCACGGGAGGGTGACGCGGCGGAGCAGTCGGCGCCACCGCCGCGGGATTGCGGCGGACCCAGACGAGGACGCGCGGCTCCTCGCATGGGTCTCCTGCCAGTCCCTCATGACGGCGGAGACGGACGCTCACTGCCTCCGATGGAAGAACGTCAAGGTGCTCCAGCTTGCTATTGAGCAGTCGGAGCGAAAGGCGACAGAGGCAACAACGGAGGCGGCTCGGGTCGCGAAGATGAAGCGGGAGCAGGACAGGGCGGTCCGTCGGATGAAGGGGCTCATCGTCCTCTTTTGACTCCGACGAGGATGACGGTGACAGCTGCACCTCCTCCTCGGACGACAAAGACCCTCTGCCAGCCCGAACGCCTACAGCGGCGCCGGCGACCAGAAGGGCAAAGGCCCGGCGAGGAAATGGTGAACCCCCCCTCAATGTTTATATTATTTTGAATTGTAGAAGTTTAAGAATTTGTCTGGTGACGAACTAAGATGATATTTCAGATGTAGCGAAGTTTTTTAATGTTCTCTTGTAGTTGATCTTGTGTTTGCTTGCAGCCGATTTTTGTTTTCTGTTGTTTGATCATGTAGAGTAGATCAACATTGCATGTGTAGTATGAATATTCTATTAAAAGGAGGATAACCCCCGGCCTCTGCTACAAGATACGCAGATGCAGAGTGACAAAATATGAGGCGTGCCTGGTAAGTGCCCGCAGACGCGCCCCGAACGCCTCCGCAGGCGTTTGAGGTGCTGAAATTTCAAAAAAAAGGTGCTGAATTTGCCAAACACGGCTGTAGATGCTCTAAGTCATCATATGTGGTTCCTAGAAATCATATTTGTACGATGTTCACATTAGTTGCGCCCAATTGGTATGTCTGTCGCGAAGTCCAGCTATTTTTTTCCAACTGTGTGCAACGTAGGCCCTGTTTGGTTCATAAGTCTTAGGACTTTTTCTAGTCCCAACTAAAAAGTCCCTAAAAATCCCTCTTTGTTTGTTTTCAGGGACTAAAAAATCCCTATTCCCTTCCTAGAGGTTATTAAATGACCATGTTACCCCTAGTATACAAAAAAATAACAACCAAACAACACCATGGGGCGGTGGGGCAATGGATGCAGGGAGGGGCATTGTTGGAAAAGTCCCAAAAAGTTCCAAAAAAGACTCTCCTTGTGAGTCTTCTTCATTTAATCCCAAAAAGAAACTTTTAGTCCGTAGTAGTCCCTTCTGTTTGGATAAAAGGTTTTCTAAGAGTGACTTTTTTTAGTTCCTACACCAAAAAGTCCCTGAAAACAAACACTCCCCGTAGTCTTCGCACACTGTTTTTTCTCTTCTTTTTGGGCATGTGCGATTGGACGCTTAATAGCATGTGTCCGTACTAGTGTGCATCTGCACTCGTGTGAGTAGTTTACTATCCATTTACTTTTCTTTTGAGAAGAAGAATAATTTCAGGGCGATGCATCGTGCGATGCACACAATCATTACTGCCCATTTACTTACCAGTGAAGGTCGAAGTTTGCAGACCAGCGGTCAGACGCTCAATGGACAAGATATTGAGCTGTTTTGTTCTCATCACGAATGTCTTGGCAAGGACAAATCATGATGTTTACGATGTGGATGCTGCCCACTGCAACACGGTGTACGGACGCTGGCCGGATGCTCTTGACACGTCGATGCCAGTCAATGAATGGCTGTCCCGAAATTGCGTGTGTGGTTGTTTTTTCCCATGAAGCGGGTGGCATTCAGTGAACCGGAGCAATGATTCAAGCTGTCAGTGAAATGCATGCACTTTCAGTGCAAATGCATGCATTCATGGCGTGACGA